GCCAGTCCTGTGACTACTGCAGCTCTGGAATATGGGACCAACTTTCCCACCCACGTCAGCAAGCCACCGTCAGTCAAAATTCATATCAGTGGTCCTTGGGATTTGAAATTATGAGTTTGGTGGTTCCTGAGGCCCAAAAGGTTGGCGACCCTGTTCTAAACAATAGTCTAAACAAGGAACTAGGAACACTGCCTCCAATACTGACATGGCAAGCCATTTGTATATAAAAGGAGAGCAAACCTTACTTCCTTCTTGCATAGATGATATTACCTAGTTGGGTAATTAAATGTCTGCAAGAAAACATCCAAGCTCAGAGAGCACCAAGGACCCTACAGTTCAACCCTGAGCTATAAATATTCCCCTTATAGGATTAAAATGTTCAGAGCATATTTAAAATGGTATTCTACAGTTCAATTATCATGTTCGCCTGCCTTCCTTCCACAGAAAATTTTCCCTTTGTGGTCTCACTATCACCACATGAGGTAGGTTAGGCCAGAAATTATGACCAGCCCAAGGTTGCTTGATGAGGCTCGTAAGTAACTGGGGATTTGAAATTAGGTGGGCTAGGAACCAGCCTGATAGTGTAACTTGTACACCACATGGATTCTGAAATTGAGGAGAAGAGAAAGTAATTATATGGCCTGTTTCTGATTACAATTAGCATGCCTGCTCCAGTCACTGGTTTCCACAGCAAAGGAACTGTGATTTGTATATGAGTGTATCTCTCTGTGAATGATAAGACCGGCCATTAAAAGTGCAAATCAGAACTGAGAACCCAGGAAGATCTCTGCTGGATCAATCAAGCATCAGTTAAGCCTAGAAGCTCCTTCCCAAAGTTAAGAGAGAGAGAGAGAGAGAGAGAGAGAGAGAGAGAGAGAGAGAGAGAGAGAGAGAGAGAGAATTCTGGGGAATTCTGGGAATTGAAGTCCACAAAAATTAACGTTGCCAAGATTGGAGACTCCTGAGTTAAGGAACAGAGCCATGATGCCCTTTTTATTTGATTTCCAAAAATGCTTTACAATGCATGTGACTGTAAACATTAAACCTTGTGTCCAGCACCTTAAAACCTGTGTGCCCTTGCCTGGGACCTATTGAAGAAGTCTCCAAAAGCACTTTTTGGAGGGTTGCGTTGCCCTACTTGGAACACCTGAGAAAAGTTGGCTAGCCATTTTCATCCAGAGTATATGAATCACGAGCTTGGATTAGATCAGGGGTGTCCAATCTTGGCAACTTCAAGACCTATGGACTTCAATTCTGGGAGTTGACGTCCACATGTCTTACAGTTGCCAAAGTTGGACTCCCCTCATTTTTTGATACCAACCATATAGTTGCAAGTCCTGATTTTAATACTTAATCTTTTAAACATTCATTTCAGAAGGGAAGAGGGAAAAGGATTGGCACCAGGTAGGGAAGGAATGAAAAGGTTTCCTTCCCTGCTGTAGGCTGGTTGAAAAAAGTCATTCCCAGAAATTATTCCCAGCAAGCTTTGCAACCCAACAAGACAGACGCAGGCTTCAGAGAGTAATCAGGATTGCAGAAAAAACAATTACTACCCACCTGCCTTCATTTGAAGACCTGTATACTGCATGAGTCAAAAAGTGGGCTGTGAAAATATTTACAGACCCCCTCACATCCCGGACATAAACTGTTTCAACTCCTACCCTCAAAACGACGCTATAGAGCACTGCACATCAGAACAACTAGTCACAAGGACAGGTTTTTCCTGGAAGCCATCACTCTGCTAAACAAATAATTCCCTCAACAGTGTCCGACTGTTTACAAAGTCTGCACTACTATTACTATCAATCTTCTCATCACTCCTTATCGCCCATCCCCTCCCACTTGTGACTGTATGACTGTAACTTTGTCGCTTGTATCCTTATGATTTATATTAACTGTTTCCTAGTATGATTTGATTGCTTATTGTACCCTATGACTATCATTAAGTGTTGTACCTTATGATTCTTGATCTTGACAAATGTATCTTTTCTTATGTACACTGAGACCATTTGCACCAAGACAAATTCCTTGTGTGTCCAATCACATTTGGCCAATAAAGAATTCTATTCTATTCTATTCTATTCTATTCTATTCTATTCTATTCTATTCTATTCTATTCTATTCTATCCTATCCTATCCTATCCTATCCTATCCTATCCTATTCTATTCTATTCTATTCTATTCTATTCTATTCTATTCCATTCCATTCCATTCTATCTGTTCCTATTTCTATTCTATTCTATTCTATTCTATTCTATTCTATTCTATTCTATTCTATTCTGTTCTGTTCTGTTCTGTTCTGTTCTATTCTATTCTATTCTATTCTATTCTATTCTATTCTATTCTATTCTATTCTATTCTATTCCATTCCATTCCATTCCATTCCATTCTATTCCATTCCATTCCATTCTATTCCATTCTATTCCATCTGTTCCTATTTCTATTCTATTCTATTCTATTCTATTCTATTCTATTCTATTCTATTCTATTCTGTTCTGTTCTGTTCTGTTCTGTTCTATTTCATTCTATTCCATTCCATTCCATTCTATTCCATCTGTTCCTATTTCTATTCTATTCTATTCTATTCTATTCTATTCTATTCTATTCTATTCTATTCTATTCTATTCTATTCTATTCTATTCTATTC